GGGTGTGCTGGGTTAGGGTTAGGGGTTAGGCTGCGGCTCTCAGCTCTCCTCCTCGGGGACGGCTGCAGTGGAAGGGCTCCTGCTCCTCTCCTCGGCATCGCCCGCGGGCAGCAGCAGCGCCGGGCTGGGGCTGGAGTGCCGCTGTTTGCGCATGAAGGGGAAGACCCTGCGGGCAGAACGGGGTCAGAAGCGGTGGGGAACCACCCCAGGTGGGCCCCAGGGGACGGCTCCTGCCCTCACCGCTTCTTGGTCTCCGGGGGAATGATGGCCTCGGCCAGGAGGTTCTTGTAGAGGTCCGACTTGAGGAACCGTGGGTAGGAGTCCTGGGCGAGCAGGGACGTCAGGATCCTGCCCAGCCCCGCACTGCCCAGCCCCGCCCTCACCCACCTTCTTCATCAGCATGTAGATGTGCATCTGGGCATCGTCCATCACGTAGCGATGGGGCGTCTTGATGCCCTCCAGTGTTCGCTCCATCGTTTTGCTGTCGATGTTCACCCAGCGCGTGGCCCCGGGAGCCAGGAACTGCCTGGGGAGTCACAGACAGCGGTGAGCCCGGCCCTGCCCCGGGACAGGGCACCGTGATGGCCTGAGCATCCCCAAAACCTCCATCCTGATCCCACCAGCACTCACTGGTAGATGGAGTCCACGATCTCGGCGATGCGGGACTGCTCCCCGTAGCGCAGCTCCTCACACGCCTCCCAGAAGCTCAGGTTCTCAGCTGGGGAGGGGGACATGGTGCTGGCAATGGGGACATGGCACTGGGCACCCCTCGTGGGCAACCCCCTCATGGGCACAGAGCCAGCTGGGACAGTGGAACCAGGGAAACTGGGGCAGATTAGCTGGGAGGTACTGGGATGTGCTGGAGGGCTGAGGAGAGCCAGGACACGGTAATGGGTTGCTTTGGTGGTGTTGGGATTGGACAGTGGATTAGGCACCCCTGGGACATGGTGGGTTTGGCAGTGCTGGGTCACAGTGGTGGGTCTGGGCTGCCAAGACACCGCAGTGTTTTGGGGCTGGGGCTGCTCACCACTGAACTCCTTCTTGAGGAATTCGAGGAGCTGTGCCCGGCCCAGGGGGTCGTTGATGAGCTCACTGAAGTTGAAGCCCCAGCGCTCCACACGCAGTTTCGTGGGGGTCGTCACTCTGTGGGTGACAGCGGCACTGGGGCTGGCAGCCCATGGCAGCTTGTCTGACCCCACAGACCCCACAACCCTGTCCTGCGGGTTGGAGCTGTGGGGGGCCTGGGGCACTTACGTGGGGGCATTCATGGCCCAGTACGTGGTGTCGTCCGTGATCCAGGGGTTGCTGGGCAGGCAGCCGGACATGATGGGGTCGTGGGGCACATACTGCTCGTTGAACTTGATGTACCTGCCAGGAGTGGTGGCTGGAGGACACCAGGGCCACCGACCCCCGGCCACCGTGGGGACATGATGGGGACACGGTGGGGATGTGCCCAAGCTGTGCAGAGCCTCAGCTCCACTCTCTGCTGAGGGACGTGGTGCAGCGATGCCAGCACCAGCTGCTGGGATGTGGGTGGCCCTGTCACCCCACCAGGGACCCAGCCCTTGGCTGGGGCAGCAGCTGTCACTCACCCCTCAAGGCAGATGGAAGACTTCACCCTGGTCCTGGCCATGGCCTTCCTGCAGTACTCGATCTGGGGCCAGGCGCAGGGGAGATGTTGGGGTGCCTGGCAGCTCATGTCCCCCAAGAGCTGCCCCCACCCCTTTCCCCACTCACCTCTCGCTTGTAGTAATCCATGTTCTTGGTCTGCAAGAGACGCACAGGGCTGGGTGAGGGCACGGTGGGGCCGGGACATTCCCCTGCCACCACCACCCTGGACAATCCAGACACCCATTCCCCCACCCTGGCACTCTGTAGCCCATCCCCGTGACCCCCAGCCTCATTCCCCCAGCCCTCCTGGCTCAGCCAGCGCAGCCTGTGGAATGAACCGTGGCCTCCCCCCCTCCACACCCCGGTGTGACACCAGCCCTAGGTTAGTGACACTTACGTGGGCAGAGGACACGGCACAGGGTGCAGAGAAGAGAAAGTGGGTGGTTAGTGAGGACAGCCTGGGGGTGCTGGGGCAGCATTAGTGGGGTCACAACACAAGGGAGGGCTTGGTGAGTGCTGCCAGGGCTCCCTGCAGCACAGCTGCCCTGCAGGGATTAGAGGTGCTGGCACAGAGGGGTGGTGGGTGCAAGGACAGACACACGGACTCGCCATGCATGGGGTGGGGGGACACACGGATGTCAGCAGAGCTGGGGCTCACCCCTCACCCCAAAATGTGGGCACAGGCTGGGGTGAGATGGGTGGGCACCCACCGGGGCAGCTCTACACGCCGGCGCAGGCACCGGGTGTGCCCTGTGCCCGCTGGCAGCGCCAGGGCTGCCTGGACATCCCCACTCACCAGCTGGACACGGGTGGTGTGGCAGTTCCTGCGCTCGGGACCCTGCTCCAGCACGTTAGGGGCTCCTGGCTGCAACCAGAGCATCATGCTGGAGACCGGGGGGACCCCCTGCGCCCCCAGCCCCGCTGCCCAGGCCCGGGCCGTGGGTGGTGCCAGGGCTGCCCCCTCCAGCCCGCCCCCCCAGCCCGCGCTCACCGGGGGCCGGTTGACGAGCCAGTACGCCTGT